GCGTCACTGTTGAGTCTAGCTTGTTAGGCTCGACTATTAGCTCACTGTTAGCCTACTGTTAGGGTCACTGTTACACTACTGTCGTTAGCTCATTGTTAGCCTGGACAGTGTAGGCTTCACTGTTAGATCTACCAGTTAGCCTACAGGTTAGCTCACTGTTAGGCTCACTTGGTTAGCCTACTGTCTAGCTCACTGTTTAGCCTACTGTTAGCTCACTGTGTAGCTTCACTGTTAGCCTACGTTAAGCTCACTGTTAGCCTACTGGTAGCCTCACTGGTTAGGCTCACTGTTAGGCCTACTGGGTAGCTCACTGTTAGCCTACTGTGCTCACTGTTACCTACATTTGGCTACTGTTAGCCTACTGGTAGGCTCACTGTTAGCCTACTGTTAGCTCACTGTTAAGCGCTACTGTTAGCTCACATTGTAGGGCTCACTGTTACCTACTGTTGGCTTTCACTGTTAAGCTCGCATGTTAGCTCCACTGTTAGCCCTACAGTTGGCTCACTGTTAGCGCTTTACTGTTAGCCTCACTATTAGCTCCTGTTAGGGGGGCCTGACTGTTGGGCTCACTGTTAGCCCTCACTGTTAGCCGTACTGTTAGCGTGCATGTTAGCCTACAGTTAGCTGTAGCTGTTTAGCAGCTGGTTGTGCGTAAGACTTACTAACGTTTAGCAGCAAACTGCGTAGACTTCTTCGAGTCTTGCCTTGGATGCGTAGGTGGCTTCACTGGCTGGTAGTGTACTACGGTAGCGCGAACAGTGTTAGCCTGAGGTGTATGTTTGCTGCGATGCTAGCTTGTTATTAGTAGAAGTCACTAGAAAACGTAAGCATAGCTTTTGTTTGCGCCAGTGACTGGTGTATGTTACGCTGCTTTACGCCCTCAGTCCAATGTCAGGGGTTGTCTTGATTGTTACGCCCTCAGGTATGTCGGGGTGTGTTCGATGTTACGCCCTCCAGTATTCAGGGGTGGGTGTGTTTGATTGTTACGCCCTCAGTATTCAGGGTGTGTCTTGCAGTTGTTGACGCCCTCAGGTATTCAGGGTGTGTTGGATGTGTTACGCCCGCCCTCAGTATTCAGGGTGTGTTTGTTTCTTTCCTGTTCCACCAAATTTAGATCAGAATGCGTTTGATGAAACCTCTTCACCTCCCTGTCGGGCTGAGTTTAGGTCACGTGTCGTTGGATTTGTGCCTCATTTCCTCCCTGTGTCTCTCAACATTTAGGCTGTGTTTGATCCGACTCCCCTCCCCACCCGCCTCACTGTGGCAGGTCGGATTTAGCTTTCAGTGCGTTTGATTTGAACCCTCTCTCCTCGCTGTCGGCTCGCATTTATGTTAGGATTTGTTTATCTTCTATACTTCACTCCCCCACACTTTCTCCTCCCACTCCTCTCCTCTGTTTACCTCTCTTACCTCCTTTATTCCTACTTCCTTCTTTCCTTTCCTCTCTTACCTCCTCTCCTCTCTGTTCCACCTCCTATCCTTATCTCCATCCTGTTGTTTCAGGCCTCCCTTTCCTTCCTGTCTTATTCAGGGTGTGTTTGATTTTCACCTCCTTCCCAGGCGTTAGCTGGCAGAGCTGAGGTGAGGTTAGGGTGAGCTTGTTTTGACCACCCTGCCCTCCCTGTGTCCACAGCCGCAGGACGGGTACCGCATGGTGCAGCAGTTCCAGTTCCTGGGCTGGCCGATGTACCGGGACACGCCCGTCTCCAAGCGCTCCTTCCTGAAACTGGTTCACCAGGTGGACAAATGGCAGGAGGAGTACGACGGAGGGGAGGGCCGCACGGTGGTCCACTGCCTGTACGTAGTACTAATACTGCTGATACTGCAACTAATACTGCTGATACTGCAACTAATACTGCATTATAATACTGCTGATACTGCATATAATACTGCTGATACTGCATATAATACTACTGATACTGCATTATAATACTACTGATACTGCATTATAATACTACTGATACTGCATTGTAATACTACAGTTATAATGATTTTGAGCTGATTGTCTCCATCTGCTGGTGAGAAACTGAAACAACATACTGTCTCCTTCTCTCTTTCTTCTTCTGTCTCCTTCTGTCTGTCTCCTCCTCTCTTTCTCCTTCTGTCTCCTTCTGTCTGTCTCCTCCTCTCTGTCTCCTCCTGCAGTAACGGAGGAGGTCGCAGTGGGGTGTTCTGCAGTATCAGTATTGTGTGTGAGATGTTGAGACAGCAGCGCTGCGTTGACGTCTTTCACGCTGTTAAAACTCTGAGGAACAACAAACCCAACATGGTGGATCTGCTGGTAACTTTATTATTATCATTATTGTTGTCGTTGTCTGACCTCTGCCCTCTGGTCTCTACAGTTAATATATTGTTTCGTTGTCTGACCTCTGCCCTCTGTGTCTTCTACAGTTAATATTATTGTTGTCGTTGTCTGACCTCTGCCCTCTGTCTCTCTACATGTAATATTATTGTGTCGTTGTCTGACCTCTGCCCTCTGTGTCTCTACAGTTAATATTATTGTTGTCGTTGTCTGACCTCTGCCCTTTGTGTCTCAAACAGTTAATAATGTTGTTGTTGTCAGTGTCAGACCTCTGCCCTCCGTGTTTCTACAGTTAATATTATTGTTGTTGTTGTTGTTGTTGTTGTTGTTGTTGTTGTCGTTGTCTGACCTCCCTCTGCCCTCTGTGTCTCTACAGGAGCAGTATAAGTTCTGTTATGAAGTGGCTCTGGAGTATCTCAACTCTGCTTAACAACAGAGGCTCCTTCGTCCTCTTCTTCCTCCCTCAGTGATAATACTGCACAGTGTGACAGGAGGAGGTGGAGGTCGACTACTGACTGAGGCTGAGGAGGAAGAGGAGGAGTGGTGGAGGTGAAGGGGGAAGAGGAGGATGTTTTGCACTGCCTTGTTGGACACACTGAACTGTCACCATGAACACAAACACAGGTTTCTGTTTCTGCGTCAGAGTGGAGCATCCCATCTAGCTCCCACGATCCACCTGAACTTCCTGTTCAACAACCAATCAGAACACACAGAGGATCCACTGGGCTGATGGGATATGAAGTCTGGACCACGTCCAAAAAGTCAAATGCATCAAATTAAACAGTCAATTCTCAGGTTGAGTTCAGATTTTCACTCCTCACATCTGATTGGTCGAAGCGCAGCATGACATCACAGCTCAGCACCGTCGACAGGTTTAAATGAGTGCTAATTAATCTAGTTGATCAATATCACTGACTGTCCAATCAGAGCGCAGCAATGGCTGCTACTGTTAGCATGTCTCACCCACACAGTAAATTAATCCAGCCTGCAGTCCCTCTAACGGCCACTAGAGGCTCCAGCAGTGAGTCTACATAAGGCTCCATATGTTCACAGCCTGTCTACAGATCATTTCATCCTGTCTGAAACAAGCCCCGCCCTCCCTAAAAGCCCACTGTTCATTAGCTTGGACCATATGAATCTGAATATTTACTGTTTATTGACCCCAAATGAGACAAAATATGGTTGAAGTTTCACTGATTTATTTTAACTCTATTCAGTGAAACTGGATCAGCCCTGCGTCAACTCTCTGAACTGATCACAACAAAAGTGAACTGATTATGTAACATTGCAGAATGAACAATCAACAGGTTAGCAGCAGTAACCACAGGGGGCGGGGCTTAGACAGCAGTCTGTTGTTTAACATCCAGCAAAGTGTCATCAGCGTAGAGTGTGACCGAAATCAGCAGAGAACAGTAAGAACTGGAACACTGTGCAAATTGTCATTAATATTATCAATGAGAACACCAATCTTTTATGAGTCATAACAAACAGAAGATAAGCCCAACATTTGACAAACTGAAGAGACTCAGTTGCTAATTTAAATCCTGACTAATAAACGTGGTCAGCTTTCTATGACAGTCTCAACTCAAGGTCCACTTACCTGTGTTTGTTTCGGAGCTTTCTGCATATCTGCTGATGAGGACTGTGTGATACGGTCAAGAGCGCTGGAAAAAGCCAATTCTTTTCACAGAGGAACATAAAGTCCACATGAAACAGTCACTGATATTGATCGTTCAAAGCAGCCAATAGCACTGACTGTGTTTACCCCCACTGTTATGCAGCTAGTGCTATGAGCTAGCATTAGTGTCTACCTTTCAAGGACCACAGCCGGACCCGGGACTGAACACAATCTTGGAGGCTGACAGGGAATCCAGTACCGAGGTGGTTTTCTAGCCGGGTTTGGCTCTTGGCATCCTGAGGCTGAGTCAGTTAGCTTAGCTGCATGGGTTACATGGGTTGCAGTTGGCTACTAATCAATCTGTCCATCAGAAACTCTGTAAATGACCTCAGTACTGTAACGTTATTCCCTGTCGGTCTCGGAGGCTGTGTTCGATTCTGTTATGCCAAAATCACTGAATAAAATTATAAAGTTGAGCTAATAAATAAGGTACACTAGTTAAAATGTTAGCTAATCCAGCTCCAATTGTAAATGCGGGTAAATGGCCTGTACTTGTATAGCGCCTTTTTCTAGTCTTCAAAGCGCTTTTACACTACATGCCACATTCACCCTTTCACACACATTCACACAGTGATGGCAAAGTCCATTGAACAGAAACTAACTCATTCATACACATTCACACACCGATGCTATGCATCGGGAGCAGTTCTGGGGTTCAGTATCTTGCTCACGGATACTTCGACACGTGGCAGGAGTAGCCGGGGATCGAACCAACAACCAACGACCCGCTCTGCCTCTGAGCCACAGCCGCCCCCAATTACCTTAATTATCATCTGGGTTCAGACTACAGGCCTCAACAACTTCATGTTACAATGCATATCTGACAGGTTTAAAAGGTATGTCCCTCTTGGGCGGATTTCTTAGATCTTCTGGCGCCTGTTTTCTTATAGGAAAGACCTGGGCCAAACAGTATTTGCACATACTTGTTTTTATAGTTTGTTTAAGACTACTTGGCTGTCACATAGGTGGGATCTGCCAGGGGAGGGAGAGAACTAGAAGGTCTAAGCTAACAGTTCCCAAACCTTTTGTCTTGTTTAATTTCAATAATTTTCTACAGACCTGATAAAGTGGAATTATTCATTATTTCATAAAAAATTTAAATAAACAATAAAATGGTTTATATGTTGTGATTAATGGCTTTATTTTTGGTTAATAAATCAGTTACCAATACTTTATTGATCAGCCATTATTACAAACAATTTGGGTTGACAGGTTGTGAAAAAAAATGTTATCTAGCTTTAATATTTGGAAATAATGCAGTTATAAATGTTGGTAAACCATTAATAAATGGTCTAATAAGCATTCAAATCAGCAGTTACAAATGTTAGTAAGTAATTAAAAAAGAGTGTAAAGTTTTTAAGACAATCATCAAATCTGTAGTTGCAATTGTTAATAAATGGATTTTGGTTTGGACGCCCTACAGCTCCTTTACAGAAGGTAAAATTCTTGATGAGGAGAAAGCAATTTAAAAACATTTAATGAGGTTGTAGAAAATAATCACAATCTCCCCTAAAATTGACTGTAGCTTGAGCCCCAGATTGGGCACTAGGGATATAGACAATCAAGTAAATATGAAGTATATTTTTCTATGGATGACGACAAAGTTGTGACTGTTTGAACCGTCCTGATGCAGAAGGCTCCACACATCTGGTACTCCAAGCCGGACAATATGCTGAGCTTTGTTGGGAGCAAGTATTTGCTTGAGATTTGACCAGGAGCGTGTTAGACCAAAGCCTTTTGAAGTTGTCATGACCCCAGGCTAGGCAATAGCCAGACAGTCTTTTTTAATATCGCTTTTTATAAAACTGATAAAAAGCCTTAAATATCACTTGAAATCCCAAATATCTGGACCAATTCCCTTCATAATCATAAAAAGATCTGTTTTGTACTGATGTTTTCGGGAAAAGGCTGGCAAACAGGACAAAATGAAACATTTAACTGAAATGAAACGTGAATCATGTGTTTCATATTGAAACTGTATGTTTATTTGTACTCCACTTTAGCTCTGACTGCAGGAGGGGTGCAGCAGCATAGTGTTACACTGACAAACAAGGATGTGCTCAAGTGATCAAGTGCCACTGGCAACCCGGACCGGATATAGTTTACGAAGTGATGGTATGCAAGCAGGGCCCTTGTCACAGGAAGGCAACAACATGAAAGATTTATGAATCCTCAACTGGCTGCTCAACTCTGTCCAGTACAGAGTCAAAATATTTTAAGAGCACGAATGTGAGCACTGACTTTAGAGGTTGAAGATAAATGTGAACTAAGACAGCACAAGTCTAGGAGGAACAGAAATTAATGCTTTCTGTTGAAATAGAAAAACACATTCCAGTGTTTGTTGATGCGTATTGCGAGGTGCTGGACCCCAAACAGGTAGAGCCATTACTGTGCACCAATGGCTGATTCATCCCAGGAAATCACATGGCAACTTAGAACACATTTACACTCCTGACACCTCCGTCCTGCACGCTCAGACACACATGGTCAGTTCAGAAATGACCAGAGGTTACCCTGAGGAGCAGTCTTTTCCCTTACCAACTATGGTCCCAACAGCTATTAAAACTTGAGGTCTTTGGTTTGTTTAGGAAGCAGGACTCAGGCCTCTCCAGGGCCCAAACTGCAGGGTGACCACGTCTTTTCCCCTAAAGGAACGACCGTACACTCACACACTGTCAACAGTTAAAACCCCGTGGAGAGAAGAAATGTTTCCAAAGTGCACAACTGTTTTTTTTCTTCTATAGACTGTATGATACTGGATAGTCCTGGGCAAAAGTTGAAAATCGTGAGAGAAACGTGGTCGTATTGCTGAAACAATTTGTCAGTTAGATTCAGTCATTTATCAAACAATCTGGTTCCAACTTCTCAAATGTGAAGATCTGCAGTTTCTTTAAGTTTTACATTATTGTAAACAGAATATGTTTTGGTTGACTGTTGCTATGTTATGATAATCTGTTGACAGCAACAGAAGCAACAGAAATAACCCGATGATGAAGTTGCAGCCCCATCGTGAACCCAAAACGGTGGTCCAAGATCAAAAAGTGAAGTCCAATTCTGAGTTTTGGCAACCAAAATTCTCACAGTATCTGAAAATTAAGGCCAAATTCTCTCAATGTGACTGCTGCCACGACCAACATCCACAAACCGACCAATCAAAATAAGGCATGAAATGACGCAAGATACATTGACTGACAGGATATTGCAACAGTCTATTTCTTAATTTATTAGTTTATTTAATGTAGAGAAATATTAATGTCTTAAAGTACACAGAATAAACATTTAGCTAACATTGTTCTGACACAGATGGCGACCAAGCTTTTTTTAGCTTCATCTCACACCGCGTGACATGCAATTAACCTGCAAGATCGCTGTTACTGCACCGTGTATAGAGGCCTCGACTGTGTTACGAATCATCTTTATGAAGAGTACTTTTAATAGGCATTGATAGACAGAGGATTTAGAGCTAATCTGAGAGCTAAGGGCAAGTCCCAGCAGAGATACATATGTTGTATTTGTGCTCCTTTAAAATACAGAGCCAATGTGATTACTGTAAACACAAAAGATTATTGTGGATGAATGGATATTGATGTTATTTTGAAAGGATCAAAAGCATGGTGTCATGAAACAATCTTTCCATCTGACAAACATGAAGCAAAGCTGGTGATTGTATAAAATCTGGGCCACTAGAAGACTCTTACTGGAAGCTGGAAAAGCTTGCAAAACAAAAAACCTGGACTACTTGCTGAAATCTCTCTCATGAAGAATCGATCTACAGAGGTATTCCTATAAAAGCAGCGACTCAGCAGAGACAGAGCCTTTGCCAACAGCACACTCATGTACGTAAAAGTACAATAGCTCCGTCATTATATCTGGCAGATGAAGAACCCGTTTCTAATCTGTTTTTTCCATTAACTGTTCCCAGCCTGTAGCTGGCAGAGTTGCACGTAAGACCAGTTGTGAAGCTGCTGACAAATGAAAAACGAATAGAATGATAGGCAATAAGTATATGATATGATATGCAAAGTCCAAAACTCTGTTGTGACTTCACAGAATGGATGTTGGATGTTTGTTGAGGCCTTAAACATAATAGAAAAACAAACAGAAAGTCAGATTACAGTGTTTGTATGTCTGGTAACCTGACTAACCCTCGCTTATCTAGGCTATCATTTTTAGCTTTCTATTAATCAATACTTACATAAGCTTACTCAAGCTTATAAATGCATTATTGTGTTAATGTGTCC